AAGGTGAGAATCTCCATTTTTATTACATTTTCTGATGCATATACATGTACTTATGCAGCGTAGAAAGTTTGAGCTGATTCCTGTCAAAATTAAATTTTTTACAAATTTTTAAAGTTTCTCAAAAATCGGCTCAAAATCCCTGTACTGTAGTACATGGTCTCGGGCTAAATTTTACCAAAAATGAAAAGGTGAAAATTCTCCATTTTTATTACATTTTCTGATGCATATACATGTACTTATGCAGCGTAGAAAGTTTGAGCTGATTCCGGTCAAAATTGAATTTTTTACAAATTTTTAAAGTTTCTCAAAAATTAGCTCAGAATCCCTGTACTATTAGTAACACAGTAGTGTTACTAAGTAGGATTCACCCCCAAACAAATTGGCTGCCACGACTTTTGCAGCCTTGCTATACCAGAAAAACGAGCTCTTATGTTTACCAGACTTTATAGAGGACCTTATCTTGACCAGAAGACTCCATTGGTACCACTAGCATGGCTCTAGACCTTGTCTAAGAGGAAAGTTAAAAATCAGCAAATCGGCAAAAAATGCTCCAATGCATAATTTGCCAAGCCCTAGTTAAGTGATCAAATTACATAATTTAGTTGTGATAAACCATTAGTAGAACTACATGTGTGTACACAGTATTTATAACTGTGTGAATCTGCGTGGGTCAATCAGTGCAGTGGTATGTGTACTTCTTTTAGTGCCAGTGTATGTATGCATAATTATTACAGTGCTAATCAGCATCAGACATGTGCTGTTGCTATATGATGGAATGATGTACTAGCCAATTAATGAAGTGTAAGTGGTGGTGTTTACATGTACATGTACATGTATGTGTGTCCCAGTGCTCAGCTAGCTTGCTTATAATTAATGATGAAAGACCAACTGGTACTGTAATAGTAGTTGTTCTAATAAGGTGTTGCATAGTATAGGCATCAAATTTGGTGTCTATTCCTCTAGTAATGGCTAGCCCAATAGCTATATCAACAAATCTTATTGCTGTAAACAAGCATTTTTGATTAGCTCATAATTAGATAGTTAGCACTCTTGTATAACTCAAAAGGGAATGATAAACAAAGCAAAGTGATAGGGAAAGAGTGATAAAGTGAACAATGGTACATTATGTCACACCACAATTACTATTACATGTACATTATGAACATTATGCATCTTGTACATGTCAGTTTATCTATACACTTCACAAAATAATGAGGAACTGTGTGGTTTAGTAAATACCTGACTGTTAGTATAGTTAGGAAGGAGTGTCTTATCTTAAATAAAAAACTATGCATGTTTACATGTATAATTTATGTATAACATGTTCCATTGACAATGAAAGAATATACTAGCATGATGGATGTATAAAAAATATTTCCTTTCAATGATTATTATTATATGCCTCCACCTGACCATTAGTAGATTTATTCAATTTTTGTTCATGGTCATTGGTCCATTTTTTGAGCAAATTAAAAAATTTGTAAAAAATCCAAACTTGATCGGAATCCACTCAAACTTTCTACACAATATAAGTACATGTATATGTATCATAAAAAATCAAAAAAATTAAAAATTCTCTTCTTTTTATTTTTGATGAAAATTGGCCAAATCCCTGTACTACAGTACAGGGACTTTGGCCTAATTTTTGAGAAACTTAAAAAAATCGTAAAAAATTATAACTTGATTAAAACTAATTCAAATTTTTTACTCAACATAAGTACATGTATATGCATCAGAAAAAATTATAAAAATAAAAAATTCTTTTTTGATGAAAATTGGCCAAAATCCATGTACTACAGTACAGGTACTTCAGCCCAATTTTTGAGCAAATTTAAAAATTTGTAAAAAAATTCAAATTTTATTAGAATCAATTCAAAATTTTACACAACATAAGTACATGTATATGCATCAATAAAAAAATAGAAATAAAGAATTCCCTCCTTTTTATTTTGATGAAGTTTGGCCAAAATCTTTATACTATGGCACATTATTCACAAATTTTTGAAAGAAGCAAATAAAACAACTAAATAATCCAGCACAAATTGAGCATTAGTAATTTATTATCACTGCTATATCACTTATTAAGACATTGACTTGGACTGCACAAATTTTGGAGTGTTCATATGTGTAGATATATGGACCAATGTCTATTAATTTTTCTGTTCAGCATAATACTTAACATAGTTTTTATACTGTTAGAATGCATAGTGTTAAAATTGTGCATGTTTCATAAGGACTGTTGATAAAAGGGAATTAGTAAGTGAGCAATGGCATAAATTTTTCTAATTTTAAAAACTGAAAAGTTTTAATATTGCATTGGCACAATTTTTTATTCAAAGCACACCTTGTCCAATTTATAAACCAATTAAAGCACTTTAAGACATATCTTCGTACTCATCAACATCTTGCTCTTCATTTGTCTCTCCTTGATTGGGACTAGAAACTAATCAAGGATAATAATAAAAACACTTTGTGGGTGTGAACATAAAAAATTAATTTACTTGGAGCAGTAATAGGACTGGTAGCAAATGTAGGACAGTTAGCTATTGGTATGTTATCAACAACACTGTCTCCTACAATTGAAGTATCCTCTTCTTTTTGCTGCTCTACTTTATCATCTATTGGTTCATATAAATATTCATCAATCTTCTCATAAATTCCTTCATTATTTCTATCAAAAATGCCATATACAAACTTTTAATAGAGTACTAGACAGTTCTTACTGTGTTTCAGAAGTACTAGCAATTGCCACTAAACCATATCCTACATTAGGTGCTACACTGAGTTCATTGGCTTTACTATTATGTATTATATATACATGCATTGTAAATATTACATTCTTTTACCTTATGTCAAACTTCTTTGACTTTTTTCTATACAAAACTACAATGATGATGCACATGAGTACCACCACCACAAAGAAAATCATTATTAATGCAGTTGACACTATTACTGCTACCAAAAGAACACTACCATCATCAGTGCTACTGATATTTGTAGGTGGCACTATCAATAGACCATTTTTAGTAAAATAAAGAATGGATATATTGTAGCTATAGAACTAACTTGTTAGGGAAGTGTGAATTGCTGGTCCTTCAATTAGTCCTACATCACTCAATAGCAATACACTAATACTCACAGTATAAGCTAACTGTGGTTCAGTATCAGTTATATTAACTGATGTGGTATCATAAGCTACTGATATAGTTCTTGTATTAGTTTGTCTTAATGTACTGCTAGTGCTACCATCATCAGGAGTTAATGTGATACTGTATACAAAGAATCCTTTAGCTTCTTCTAGTGTCACTGGATCCCATGATAGCACTATTGTATCTCCTATTCTCATTGCTTGTACATTTGATGGTGATACTGT